CTATCTATCTATCTATCTATCTATCTCCCATTTGTCTCTAACCTGAGCCCTTGAAACTTTAATCCAAATCTAAGGAAACCTTACCAAGTTTCCTTCCAAAGGAAGATATAAGGCAAGGTATAGTCTAAAAGCACATGATGCAAAGCTCTGTTTAGTATTTCAGCACCTCACATATCTTTCCATGAGGCTAAAGACAAGAAAAGGAAATATTATAAGTCAGGAAACTAGAATTCTGCATGACTCATGTAATATTTAAAGATAGATATATCTGGATATGAACAGGCTAAATTTTCATAATCAAAGAACACTATTTTTGGAAGGCAATTTTATATTAATTATTTCATTTTATGGGAAAAGCTTAGGGGTTAAAAAGGATGGGTGTGTGGAAACTCATAAAGAAACAAGAAGAAGCATTTCAAGTAAGCAGAGACAAATATTTAAGAAGTAAGCCAGGGGACTGGTTATAATAATCTCAGAGTGTAAAGAAACCCTTACTTTGAATCAGGCCCTGCAAGAGTCCCCTGAAAGTGAGCCCCAGGTCTCTGGTCTTGAATGCCACAGTAAGATGCAGGTCAGAAGGCAGAACTGCAGCTCCTTCAGCCTTGTGCAATGCAAAGACCTCTCATAACAAGAAGCAGCCAAATAGCAACCAAAGCAGGCTTAAAAGGTGGCTGCTCTTGTCCCTAGTTTACTCTTAGCCTGTTCAGTTTGAGTTCCAGAAACTGATCATATAGACCTCAGGCGCTAAGTCAACACCTATTTTGCCCATCCTGTTTCCTCAGAAGCTACACTCTTGCTCTTGTTCCCTTCTAAAAGTCCTGTGCTAGTTTGATCTTTAGCCTGCCTTTTAGATTGGTCGTAGTTAAAGGTCAGTGGGTACATCTTTTCTCCAAGTACATGCTGACGCTTCTGCTGAGCTGGCGGTATCTAGCTTGGCAACTTATGACAGTCCAAATCCAGTCAACGATACACCTGTTACAGAGTGATATCCCCTAAGCACTTATGTTCTTAAACATATCCTCTTGATGTTTTCAAGCTCATTGGGCACACACACACTGTGCGTTACAATGACTGAGTGCACACATTGCACTACACCATAAATCACAGTCCAAACCCACAATAGATGGGTTCCAAATACACACTAAGCCAAAACCAAATAGACCACATCATTGTTTAGTGCAATACCAGAACCCAGCTGCTATTTTCAAGTGTTCTCTTTGCAGTCAACACATGTTCTGCTTCTTTAAATATCATTCTTTAAATTTCATTATCTTTCCAATGATAATGGAATATTCTATTCTGCTGTCCCTGGCCATGTACATTTCCAGAGTGCCTGGTCTTGAGACTAATGCCAGGTGATCAGATCTTCACTGTTAACAGAAAATGTCTCTATGAATTCCCTGGATGCATCTCACACTGAAGAAAAGAAGCAAAGATGTTGGCGGCTCAGTCCTCATCCCATGTCAGATGGGCATAAAGAGGAATGATTCATTCCCAGGTGCCTGACAGCAATCCATACGTCCAAGGGTGAATATCTTTCTCTGTCTACTAGCTATACTAGTTTCCCCTCTAATCCTTCCACCAGCAGGAAAGGTTGATCTATTTTCCTCGGGTTTGCTAGAGTGGTGGAAAGCATGCTAAAGCCCAGCCAGGCCATGAACAGAAGCACAGATCTGACTAACGCATCCAGAGCAGAAGAAAGTGGAACATCATGCACGGATTGGAAGTTCACTTTGGTTTAATCCTACGCAGAGGGTTTATTCAACATTGGCGTCAATCAAAAATAGTAGTGGCTTAATGCCGTGAAATCCCTGTAACAGATTGTCCAGAGGAGACAAATCTCTGTGCTACTAGAGAGATGTTAACTGGAGCTGAGCCACAAGGAAGGAGAAGGTGGGGAGGGGGGAGAAGGGAAGGATGCCTGAGAGTGCAGAGGTGAGGAAACACACCCAAATGGCTAAAGTATGGTACAATCAATGTATTTCTCTAAGGCTCTGTACCTCCCCACAGCTCCATTTCTCTTTGGAGCCTGGGCTAATAACCCAAAAGCAGCTCTGTAATGTACCAGCTGCCCTCTTCGCTTTGCTGCTTCCCTCTAGCCAACTGGTCAGCCACTCAGCTTACAACTACCACTCCATTGTCTCCACTGACCATGCAAAAGACCAAGAGCTGGAGAGGAGGATTAGATGATAAACAGAATTGGCACCCACCATCAAGACAATCTGCACTCTGAATTGGAGAGACATATACAGAGCAAGCACACAGGGTAGCGCAGGGATATTAAACAATTTCTCCCTAATGCAACTGGTAATGCGTCTGAGAGTGCGGATATAAATGAGATTCATGCAACACACCAAGCCACAGTGTGTGTGTTTGTTCAAAGCCTAGCATATACAGTATATGAATCCAGACAATTTTGATTCTTTTTTCAATACACTATAGCCAAGCAAACTATGCATTGCTGACATCACAACCTAGCTAGGCACAACAATGTGGCTGTGGCATGTAGGTGTAGAAAATGTAGAAAAGGCACTACGAGAGACAAATGGAAGACCCAGATGGGGGACACTTACGTTGTTTTCTCTTCCAGGTTGAGGAAGGTCTGGATGACGAGAGGCAGTTCAGACTTCACAATGTATAAGTAGCTTGACATTGCTGTAGAAAGAGAAGGACATTAACAGAGAACGAAGGCCGGTTGAGATCCAGAGGGGAAGTTATTTGGGAATGTATCTTTGCCTGCATGATTCCTTCTACAAAATTTTCTAGGAAGTCTAGGTAAAAGGCTCTTACAGATTTTAGAAAACATGATGTGATCATGATCAGTTCTTTCCTACCTCCAATGTTTTGTAGTGTTATAGCAATGGCAGCTGCCAATTTCCCTGGTGTCCCAAAGGCCCTGTAGCCCAGTTGCTCATAGGCTCGGATTCCTACATGATACCAAAAATTAACAAAAAGAAAAGGTAGAGAGAAAATGACATCTGAACGACACGCACCATTTCAGTGACACAATGAACAATGTTTTGGGCTGGCACTTCTGTCATAACAAAAGTAGCTGGAATAAAAACAACTGTTCTTACATACACAGCAAATGCTGTGAATTGTATATCTAAAATAAAACATGCAAAGTTGACAGAGATTTATGTTAACCTCTGTCTTGATCAATTTTTATTATAGTGAAGGTTCTTTCCTCACCACTGCTTAAGTGGACAAACAATGATGGCATTTAGCAAGAGTATTAGTAGTTCAGCAGCAGAATAAATGTAATCTTTTGGGTGAGATCAAGTGAAACTACCATCAAAGTCAGATTTAAGGAAGCTGAACCAGGATTACCATTAGAGCAAACAAATGGGCTCACCAGATATCAGCATGTAGAGATACAGCTGACTGAGGGTAGAAAAGGCATTTCCATTTTCTTCTCAGATCAGAGTTTGCTGAGAGGGCATCAATACAACTGCCCACAGTCTAGTTATTTATTCAGCAGATGTATATATTCCATCTTTTGTCCATCATGGAATTCAAGACAGAGTAAATGTAGTCTCAGTGGGTCTTCTAGCTGAGTACATTAATTTAGCCACAGCCAGATGCTGTATCATACACTGTAGGACTGGCTGAACTGAACGCCCTCTGTGGTTTCTCAGCAGATTTATAATACTTACCAACAATCCCTGAGGATTTAAGCAACAAGTGTATAGAATAGCTGGACAAGAGAGCTACAGTAGTCAAGAGGAATCTATGGAAAAAAATAGGACATTTAAGTTATATGACTAAAGGACTGGGATAGTATTGCACAAACAAACTCAAGAGGCAACCTGAATTACTTCTTTTGCAGCACGCTGGAAACTCTAGAAGGAGAGGGTGTGGTCTTCTAGGAGTTTTCTGGAGGCACAGCTGGATCATATCTCAACTACATTTTATTTTTTGTGAAATACTTCCCCAAGTTTTGTCTAATTCCAAAAGCAATCCTCTAATTTCTGAATGGGGTATCTGGAGCTTTTAAATTAGACTCACAGAAGGGAACGATTGTATCAGTTATCATGTATGATGTGCCCAGGTAGCCTTCTTCAAACCCAATCCCTTGTCTTGGACTTATAACTATGGTGGACTCCAACTCCACAACCCACAACCACCCTAATCAATTCCAGTGTGGTTGGAATTCCATACATCTGGAGTACATGAGGCTGGAGAAAGTTCAAGGGAAGAAAGAGGAAACAAAACATTCCTATTTCTATGATCAGCAAATGTACTTCTATAAACAGAAACACAAACATTGAGAAACAAATGCACACTTATTGCACAGAAATATGATTTAGTTCAGCTTTACCATCTGGTTACTTAATTTACTCCCCGTTTATCCTACTTGGTAAGCTCACAGATTGAGGGTGATGAGAGACAGGGCACAGAGAGAAAGGCACATTTCCATAAGAGTATTAACTTGATATGAGAACTATTAGGTACTGAGTCCCCTGAAGAAGTGCATGCAAAGAAGCAGCAGTGGTATATTATGAATTGCTCTAATACTAGTGTGTTATGTAACTCTTTAATTTGTAAAAGGCAAATAATTCTACCCAGAGGATAATATATTGGGATGGAAGCCAGGAGAACACAGAGCAAAAACTGCACACACGCATGCGTGTGCACACACACACACACACAGATACACACACACACACAAACAGTTGGGTAGTAATTCTCTCCCACCAGTCGTCCTACATCTGGAAGGAGTTTTTGTTCATTCATGACTGAACCAATGCTTCAATCTTGTTGAATTAATCACTTCAAGAGCTACTTGTACCAATTATTTAGCTCCATGAATAAATGTCATACAAGTAATTGTTCTCTAGTTAACTTTTTAAAGGTATACAGGATTGACTAACACGTTACCATTATCAAAAGGAGAAAAATTTTAAAAGAGCCCCACAGGATAATGCTCCCATGATATACTCAGAATGTAGAGTGTAATCACATGACCGGAATGTCAGATGACCATCTTGAAAGAAGCAAGGCTGTTTTGGTGATCAGCTTTGTCATTGTTCACTGTGTATTAGATTTTCCAATATCCTGTTTCACATCCTTCCCCTCTCCTCGGTACATTGTTATCGCCACACATAAAGATGAAAGGGAGCGAAGTGTTGCCCAAAGAGGCAGACAAAGAAAAAAATGCATCAGTATGTCTGATCTGAAGTACCACAATTTCCATTCAAATTTGGAAGTAATGACAAACATAGGAAAAGAAAAAGGGACGTTGCCACCATGGCTACTTGACTTCTCGATATGTCCTTAACTTTATATCAGTCATCCCCATCCTGGCATCAAGTAGGCTGGGGATGATAGGTAAGATAATTCAACATGCCTACAATGAATTGCTCCAGTTGTGCAAATTTAACAGCAGTCTTACTCTAAAGCAGGGGTGTCCATGGGTGGGGGTCAAAAATGTCAAGGTGGCAGCCACATCCATGGAATCAAAGCCCCGCTCCTTCTTTATGGGCTTTGATGGCATGGTTGTAACCACCATCTGGACATTTTTGGCACCCCATCCTCCCAAAGATACTCCTGCTGTAAAACATACTTGCTGGAAGTACTTCAAAATAACTATCTAACTAGGTATGGAGTGAGCCCCACCTGCTGCTCTTTCAAAGTCCGTTTTTCCAACTCAGATCTGTAGAGAGGCAGGGCCAGCACAGGGATGCCTATTAATGCCCATCCCTTCCCAGTTTCCCAAATGCTTCCTCTGAATCTAAGCCATGATCAATCACCTCTAGTTTTATTTTTGTCCTACTCTCTGAATCAATTGTCATTATGGGTTTAGTCTAATTTATTTGCATTTCTAAAAACCTTGGCATTAAGAGCTCCAGAGAATTTCCACAATTTTCTGTCTGTGTCATTCAGCTGGTAAGCTACATATCCCAACTGGGCAGGAATGACCCATCATTGCCTGCTCTTTTGGCTAAATTGCCTCCCTAAAATTGCTGCCGGAGATTCCTATCCTTGGGCCTTTAGTGCTATTGGATCATAATGTCCATCACCCCAACCAACATTGCCAATGGCTAGGGTGATGTGATGGGAACTGTAGTACAACAATGTCCACGGTCCCAAGTTGGAACTATAGCAAGATAGACAGCTGTAATTTCAGCCCCCAGTGAAATGGCAGATCATTCCTTCTAGATAGTTGCAGTGCTAGAACTCCTCATTTCTTCCTATATCAAGAAAAAAAAAACCCATTTTTTCTGCTCCTCCTCATCCAATACCAGAATTACATGATTCAAACTGGAAAATTGCTGGCATGTTACAAAGGGGTTCTGGATCATTTTTTCTTTCAGTGAACCTCTGAGTTACTCTGTCTCAGCCTCACCCAGCCCATCTATGATAGGTGAGAAACAGATAGACCTACTAAGCCTCTATGGCTTGGAAGAGGGGTAGGCAACCTTTGGCATGGAAAGCCACATTCCCTTATGAAATATATCCCTGCACTGGCAAGTGGAACATTAGCAAATAAAAAGTGGGGCTGTACAAAAAACGTCATGTGTGTACGTGGGTCTTCTAAACGCTCCTTCTTTAGCCAGGAGGTCATCCCAAGTGAGCAAATAGTAAATGTGGTAGATGTTGCTAGTGGCAGAACAAGTGAGAGATTATATACATATTTGCACATCCCCTAACCCCTCACCCTAACCCCTCACCCTTCATTTTCTTTTTCCAGCTCCACTAGTTTATTCCTCTTCTTTAATCCAATTCTCAGGGTTTTCCCTCTCTTGTTAATATTCAGAGTCCATTTAACCCAATTTCTCAGTACTCATTGAGCCATGTTGAAGTCCCTCTTTAGGGACTTCTGAGGATGTGGGTAGATACAATGGTGCCAAAACCCAGCACTATTAAATTCTTCAATTTCTTCATGAGTTGCCTATAGAAAAATAGAAGTGGGACTACTGCAGGCAGAGCAACTTGCATGACAGGTTTCACAATATTTTTCTTCTGTGGGCCACCAAGTGGGAACACAGGAGGCTTCCAGGTAGATTCGCCCAGGGATTTTTTAAAGGAAGGGATGGTCAACTCTACGGGATGCTCACAGTCCAAAATTAAGAGCAGCTGCTAAAAATAGGGGTAGCAGGAAGGACAGGGAATGAATATGGCTGTTCTCCAGAAGAAGGTCTTCTAGAAAAAAAGGGAGCTTAATAATTTTTGCTTTGAAAGTGACATGAAATTTCCTTGGTGAAAGAAATGTGGCTTGGCATATTGAGGACAGGCGGGCCAGCACTATCCCTAGCTGAACCTTGGGGCTGAACACAGCTGGAGAACAAAAGCAAAGCTCTCTGCAGGGTAGCTGCAGGCTGCTGAATTGCTTCCCAGACCTTGGGAGGGCTTGCAAGCCCATGTTTTGCCCTTCTCAACAAGCAGCTCACACCAAATGAGAAATCAGCCCCAGGGAGCTTCGGAAGCAAAGAGCGGATCGCTTCAGTGAAAGCATTTCATTCCTCCCAACATGCTGTCACTCTGCTCCTTGGGAAGATGCAGATGATACAGATGGAGCGTAGAGCAGACAAATGGAAGAATAGGGAGTCTTAGGAAAAAAGCATGCATGAAGCACTAATGAATCCAGTGGTCTGAGTTGGATCCAGTAGTAGATATTTCAGAGTATATTTAAAATGGAAGAGGGCAACCCACAGCTCTGCATGTAGACCCCGGACCCCATGTTGATTGCCTCCAAAGTATAAGCCTTCAACCTTCCCTGTTATTGTACAAGGAAAGTTTTGGGGAGGCACCAAGTTGGAAAAGCCCTGTTGCAATGTTTGCAGCACTGCTTTAGGAGACAGCCCAATGCTGGCATGATATAATGCTCAAGTTGACCGACCAGAGAAGGAATAATTGGATCAGTAGTACAGGGACGACTTGAAACTTTTTGTTTCTTTGCTTAAAGTTCAGACTCTCTCATTGTCTTTTTCTCCATTTCTGGCCTTGAGAAGTTGCTTCTTTCCATAGAGTCTAGCAACTAGTGTTATTGAGATTCAGGTGGCATACAAGTTTAATAAATTATTAATATTATTATGGTTGGTCACACAGTCAGCCAGATGTTTAGACTGAATTTGGCATTTGTATTAATCTACTGAGTCCTTCCCAAAGACCTGAGATAGGCAGATGTTGTTGTCTGATGGTTTGATGGTGTTAAAAGATCATCGCAGGATAGAACTACTACTACTACTACTACTACTACTACTACTACTACTATTATTATTATTATTCACATGACTCTGAGAAACTGATATGAGAAGGCCATGAAAGCAAAAATGTTCTTCTCTTGTTTGGCACCCAGTAATTTTTTTGCTCCAGAAGTATACTGCCTCTAAATAGTTTAATAGTTTAATTTAATAGTTATCCATTTAATGGTTATCACAGTTGAAAAAAAAGGTTTCCAGGGTGGATGGGAAGTCAGGCCAGGGTGACTTGGGGACTGTGACCATCGTCTGATACAGTAGCAAGGAACCATACAGGTATTATGTAAAGCCTCCGCAAATGCTTAAGGAAGGGTCCTCCATTGCCTTGGATTTGCCTTGTAATTCGTATGTTTGTGTCTGGACCACTGATGCGGGAGTCATTCTCCAACAATTATTGTCCCCAAAGGGTAACTACATACTAAACGTAGCAGGGCTGCTGCTGCTGGATTGCTACTTCCTCTGGCCGATCACTTTGTGATGGCTCTGGATGGTTCTTCCCCTTCTTCTTCAAGATTACGTGAGGCTTCTGCCAAGCCCTTTTGCTTTGATTCTTCCCAGCCCCATGGATGCAGAAGTTTCTGCCTGCACCTTGGTCTGCACTGTTGTCAATGATGGCTACCACCCAAATAAAAGTGAGTGTAGAGAAAGAAATTGATACAAATGAGGAGAAACCAGTTGATGGGTGGCAACTCTTAACACTGCCAAAAAACAGAAGGATGGGCTTACATTTACCTAGTGAGAGACCTCCAGGTTGATTAGGAGCTGGCACTGCTCTCCATCCCATTAGCTGTTCAGAGTGAAATAGCAACTCTGTGTCTGTACTTCAGGTGAATGCCAGATGGAAATGACTAGTAGAGGCAAAACACAGTAGGAGGCTGTGTTGCTGTCTGCCACCTTGCAGTTCGGGAAGGACCCTTCCCTTTCTGCAGGGACTCTATGAAGTAACAGAAGTAGAGCACATACATATATCACAATGGGAGTCATCCTCAAAGATCTTTTGCAATGATCTCCCTCCCCCACTGTTCTTTTCTGCCTCCAGTTCATAGGCACCTTCTTGTTCCTCCACATTTATGCCATCCTGATATGGCTTTTATTTCGCCCAAGATCATGCTAAGTGTTGTAGAGAAGGCAGAGAGCTCCTGGAGGCTTTGTTCTCCAACCAGAAGTTTGCTGACTTTGTCCCTCCCTCCATTGCAGAGGAGCATCCTTTGTGTTCTCTGGCACAAACTCCTGCTCCAAATCATCAATAGACTACAGTTCTGTTTGACCCTAGGCTAACCTGCTCCAGCCCACCTTTCCTACCCACATAATGAGAACCTAACAAACCTCCTTTGTTTTTTCCTTCCCAAGCCTTCTGTGCACTCAACCCAGCTGGTTTTCTGATTACAGGAGTTCCATTTGCCAATAACCTTAGCTTAGGGTCAAATTCTGCCAACTTTTCTATTCATTTAATGTAAAAATAAAGACCCCTACTTCAGCCAGGCTGAGCATCCAACATCATGCCTGTCCTTAAGTTAAGCAGTTTCTAAAAAGGCAAGAAGCATAAAATGGTATATTTATGTTCGGCCAGCATGTATAGTCTGAGATCCAAGGGCATGCTGTGGGATTGTAAGGTCTTATACTGTAGGTGTGGATTGCAATTGCAACTCTGTGTGTCCCTCTGTGTGTGTGTGTGTGTGTTGGTTTAGTAGCTAACCTTCTGAGATTATGACAGGAACAGTTAGGGTCCAGGACCATAAACAGAATCCCATTTCATGAGAATCAGGTATTGGTCTAACAGACTTCTATTTAACAGACTTTGGACGCAGCAAGAAAAAGAAATCCATTCTGACATTTCTCCAAAGTAATGGACAAATCCACTGTACCCCAAGTAATCTGGATGAGGCTATATGACAGTCCTCCGTGGCAAGGAAAAGCTACCAGAGCAGTAACATGAGGATCTGCTTTATCAGGCAGTATACAGTAAATTTCCCTGGAAAAGGAGTGGTGTATGTAGAGCAAAGCAAGAGGGAACTGCACAGGCTACTCATATGTATCAGATCAGTACAGACCATCCAGGGATTTGGGATCACCATGTCTAAAATTCCCACAATCAGCATGACCTTTCACCATATTGGGAATCCCAAAATTTGCAGGGAGTATCTGACTGAGGAAGGAGAGTGTGGATTCCTCCCTGGCATTCTGATGATGAGCGCAGCACTTACAGAAAGAGGAGGATGCCAGTGTTGGCCATAGCATATGCCAGCCCAAGGATTCCACTGCCCATGATGGCATTGCTGAGATTGAAAACAGACATCCCAAAAGAAGTCTTCCCTTCAAACTGAAATAGAAACAAGAGAGTGCACGTGAGAGAGAGTTGCATGCCAGCGTAACACTTTTCTGCCCTATGTCTATACATTGTCCTCACCCACCGGATGTCAGAAGGGGGCAGGGCACAGTCTATGCCAGCCATCTTTCATCTTTTCCTGCCCACATATTTCTTATCATGAGCTTCAGGAAGAGGACACTCCTATGGCAACATCTGCTCCGAAGTCCTGTTCTCTCTGGATTAATCCAAGTGAGCTTCCTAGACTCCCTAAAATCATTCTGCAATTCCCTTTTCTACTGAGTGCTGAGAAAGGCTGAACCCTCTTTTCATCTGTCCCCTTTCTGAAGGGGAAACCCTCTTTTTCATACCAAGGCCTGGTAGCAATCTTTCTCAGACTGGAATGATCACAGATACAGCCATGGTAGCCTTCCATTCCGTCTCCCTTGCCTCTGACTCAATGTCTACTGGGCAGGCAGAGCAAGGGGGAAAGACAACCAAAAGGTTGGTTTGGGTTCAGAGGCTATTTGTTCTATGCTAGAAGGACACAGCCAAAGATGGAATCCTTTTTTGGAATGGATTTGTATGGCTGTTGTCCAAACCACTTGCAAAATATGCACTGGCCTTCCATCTTCTCTGTTAACAGCTTCCACTTGAGAGGTAGGACTTAGTTATCAATGAATATCCAGATTGCAACCATCCATCCAGAATAATATACCAAAACTTACATCTGTGAAATGGGTCTGCTTTTTTTCAGCACTATGTGGAAGAAACTCCTCCATCTCCGGTACATTTGCCTGGTTCTCATCAAATCTGGCACAAGATAGTAGGAAAAGAACATCTTCATTAATATAAGCAATCTTCTCTTAAAAATTCCCTTTTTCCCAATTCTGGTTCAAGGGATTGGTATCGGTGGTAATAGATCTACAGAATTACCTCTTCTATCCTTAAGGCCTGCTTCCTTAGACATATTGAAAAGAAATAATCTTATCAAGGGGTCTTTTCACACAGAGTCTAACCCTACTTATATTTTAACTTTTACTATGTAGTCCCAAAGTTCCTTCTTGTTTTCTGGAGGCAGTACCATTTGTGAAAATAACTTCAGATATGATGAAAGAATAGGAGGAGCAAGCCTTAAAAATCTGTTTCCAAATGCATTTTTGGTTTTCAAAGAATCTAGCTAGATCTGGGATGCCATGTTGAATTGTACAACACTACATTTAGCAAGAACATATTTGAAAAAGTAAACTCAGCTTCAGATTACAAGAATACATCCATTTATGGAAATGGTTTACCACTCCCTTCTACCATATAAAATAGTGCCAGCAGAACATTGTGTTGGTCTTTAATAACTGCTCCAAAGACTATCAGTTAAGACTTAGCTCATGTTTCTTGAAAATTCCAGACAGCAGCAATATCATCGGGGGCGGTGGGGGATCACATTCTCACAAGGACATCCTAATGCATTTCACATGCTACAAACTGTACCATTCCTGTCAGTTTCATATCTAGTTGCAAATTTGAAAGTACCACAAAATCAAAAAGAAGCAAGTCTACATTTATTAGTTGCCTGAATAGAAAGTCCCAAAGCTTCCATTATATCTGTCTCATGATTAGATAATCAGGATTTATTGCTGTTATGAATGTTGTTCATTTGCCAGTCAGCAGAACTTGGACGTTCCCCATAACAACCCCTTCATGCAGATGCAGAGTTAGAAAGCATAGCCCATGAGGAGTCACCCAGACACAGAGAGGTACCTCGTCCCTCTTGCCATACTGGGGGGTAAAACAAAGGCAGAACTGTTTCAGGACATGGCTCTCTCTGATAATATAGGTACAATCTGGGGGAGATGGGTGGCATACAAATTTAATAAAAATAAATAAATAAATAAATAAATAAATAAACTGTTTAGCTAAGCATATTGTGTAAAGTTTAATCTTTTTAGTACCATGCTGTACTAAAGTTTCATGTTTTATAATATACACACTCCATAATTGTGTGTATTTCAGTACAGATAGTCCCCAGTTTAAGAACGAGTTCTGTTCCCAAGATCTGTCCTTAAGTCGAATTTGTATGTAAGCCAGAACAGTATTATTGTATAATACTGTATAAGTAGTAATTTGTAATGAACTCAAACCATTGCGTATTTAATTTGAATCATTGTGTACTGAACTCAGATTTTGTTACAATAGGCTCCATTCTTAACTATGGGTCATCTGTAAACCAAGTGTTCTTAACCTGGGGACTACCTGTACTTTAGGCATATCCTCAGACTGAGCAAGAGGAATAACTTCTCTTTATAATCTTGTCTGATCAGTAATAATCAGTGTGGAGTTTTCTCCAGTTTCTTTCTATAGATTCAAGCAGAATGCTCATTTGTAGCAGAAAATAGCATTTTGTGGTCTGCCAGCACCATTATATCTTTTGTAAATTTTCTATTTTAATCAAGCTGCTTTTCCCCATATTCTGAATAGCTCTGTAACTGATCTCTTTCACTGCTGAATGTTGGTATTTTGGATGTCTAAAGTTAAAAAGGGATTTGTATAGTTTTTCTTTTCTTTTAATAAAGTTTGATTTTATTTATCTCTAATTAGGTTGGTTTGTCTCCCAGGATAGGGAGGAAAGGCTGAAACCTCTAAACATAAGCCTCTAAGCTACATAGCCAGGAGGCTGCAATATAGAAATTATTTCAATTTTTGCATTTCTTATTTTTTAACCACCAGAAAGGCAGCACAGGTTATGAAATCCCCCTCTCTCACACACACATAAGGGTCAGGAGGAAGATACCAAGCGAGGCAACCCCTGGAAGGTAGGCGATAGCAGCAGAAACTACCAAGCTATTATCCCAAAGCAGGTCATATGTCTGAGGTATTAAGATCAGCAGAGTTTCTGGGGGAGAAGGTTAGAGATCTCCAACTTCCACCCTGTGAGCTCAGTCATTCCACTTCAGTTGCCTACCTTCCATTTGATCTTGGGTTAAATCATGCATATATAGTACTCCCCATACTTGGAGTTTTGTTTACTCATATGTTTAGGGTATCTGCAAACCACTAATTAGGTGTCAGCACTGATGATCAGGAGTATCCAGCAATGTTCTGTAGTCATGGGAAGAATACAGATTAAAAGAACAGAAGTGGAAACAGCAGCACGAGACTGAATGGGTGCCAGTGGGTAAGCATTTGTGGATCTGGAGAGTGAAGTGACAGTAACCCCATTCACTAAAAAAGATAATCTTATATCCAGGACAAGTGCATTAACTCAACCCTGCAATCTGAGTCAGTCAGATAACCCAGACCTTACAAGATACCTCACCTGTCATTTCCCATAGAGGGGATGGAAGAGGCATTTAATATTGAGTGTTTTCCATTTGGCACCAGGTCTACCATCTCCGTCTGGATGGGGATTGTCGTAGAGTTCATTTCTTCCTTTTGAAGTCAGTACCTTCTCTTCTCTGGCAAAGAGCTTTCAGACAAGCAGCAAGTTGCACAAATTTACTGAGAGGTGCTGTATCTGCAAAAAAAAATTTTTTTAAATCAAGATTTGGTTTTGTTCTCCCAGAATGAGGCTTAGCAGCAGGATATATCCAGTTTGGGAAAGACATACAGATAGTGCCATAGAACAGCCTTCATCATTCTGGCATATCCTAACTCTGTTGGGACAACCATCCTAGGGCTCCTTGCCACCACTGGCAATATCTATGTGAAAAGTGTTCAGTAGAGTAAGGCTGGTGTATACATTCTGGTAGGATGGACTTGCATATAAAATTTCATATCTCTCAGCCAAAAAAATATGAACTAGAATTACTCTATAATTAAAATGTTATCATATCCTGCTGAACATGGACACTTACTCCATTTTTTTATAGATTACCAGGCTACATATTCTCTATTGTTTCTGCTAACTTGGGAGTACCATGAAGTGAGATAAGATGAGTTTTTATCTGATATGTCCTAAGCTTCTGAGAAATATTCAGCTATTTACAGATGACTTTGCTGAATGTCACAACTCTAGTACAGTATTGGACTGGCCAGTATCCCACTCATCTACTTGCTGGTATATCTTTTTGAAGATGATGTTTATTAGAGAGTTTTACAGAAATAAAAGATAAATATGAAAATATATAAAGAAAGTTAAGAAAAAGAGAAGATAATTTTCTCCATCATTGTACATATACTTGCTGGTATATTTCAAAGAGATACTAGTAGTTCTGTCCTAACCCAAACCATGTTAGACGCATTAAGAATTGTCAACCTTAATAATTCTAGTTGCAGTTCTGAAATCATATACTCACAGACATACATACAACACATAACATACTACATCCAGGCATGCCTATTGTATTTGAAGTTGAAGTTGAAGTCCTGCTGTCTGAACTTCAGAAGATCCAATAACCTAAGTAATTCTAGAATTGATGGCATCCACAGGTCCTCATACAATTTCCCATTCCTATATAACTTAGCAGACAACAGGGCCAGACCCTCTTGCCAGAGGAAACCTCAGATGCAATTCTTGTTTGGGTTTCTCCTTCAGTGCTTGTTTCCATACCAAAGACCAGTGTTTCTCAATCTCAGCAACCTTAAGACAGGTGGACTTCAACTCCCAGAATTCCCCAGCCAGCTGGGAGAATTCTGGGAGTTGAAGTCCACCTGTCTTAAACTTGCTGAGGTTGAGGAACACTGCTATAGACCATGTACCTTTCTTGGACCAAAATGTCCTTGGTTTTATTCATTTTATTAATAATTATTGATATGAATGTACCCTATTTTTCAGCTTGTGTAAGCACTCATGAGAACTTACACAAATAAAACAAAATGCAAAATATAAAACACAACAATAGACTGGTATAGTTAGAATTAAAATCAATATTATCAAATTGAATTAACAATTAAAGTCTTAATAAATTGTTCCCAGGAGACAATTGGCAGCTGGTGCAAATTTTTCAGTATAGGCATTATATGATTCCTGTATCATGCACCAGTTAGCAGCCTGGCCACTATATTTTGCACCAGTTGCAATTTCAGAACACTTCTCAAAGATAGACTTCCCCAAAGCATCTTGCAATAGTCAAGATGGGTTGTATTCCAGGCATATATAACTGCTGCCAAGTCTGACAAGCTCAGGAAGAGTGCAGTTGGCACTGTAAGCAGTCTCTATGCGTCTGCAATGTTCTCTTACAAAAAATAGATGCTTCACATTCTCTTCACATAATCTGTGGTAATGCTTAGTTACTCTCACAGTTAAAACAATTGTGTGATGTTTTTCTCCTAATATTGACAAATGATTTTGGTCAAATGCCAATCATTACCCATAACTTTCCCAAAGATCTGACCCTTGGGCTTCCATGTCTGACACTCTAACTGGTACACTGTGTAACATCCAAGATCCAATCTGGTATTTTTTGGTCCAGAAAGCGCAGCCTTGATTTGGAGGTTGCTTCGTGATCCCCAAGAATCAGAGAAAATCTCTCCTCACAGATTTAAAAAACGAGCTTCTCACCTGTTCTATTTCCACTTCTCTCACACACATACACACAATCTCACAGCATGAATTGGTAAGGTGATCAGTGCTCTTCAACTACATTCTGTAGATTAAAGGAAGTCCAAACTTCTGAGTTTTATTTTTTAGTGGAACAGAAGATAAACCTGAGCTTATCTGTTATTCAGCACTGCCAGTCATTCACTCTGGATGGCCTAAATGTGATCCTCTTTTAACTTATCAAAAAGATGCCAACAAGCAGCAAAATATTACTCCAGGGTTTTCACGAAGCCAAGTTCATGATTCAGTTCACTGTTTTAGGAATTCAGCAGAGTGACAAGTTATCGTTTTCGGGCATACCCTTTTCTATGACATTTCAGGTCACAGAACCCGCTGGTAAGAAAGACTGTGGCAAAATGAATGAGAACAGACAAGTACAGAACATTATTATGGAATACCAGTATCGCATTTAGAAAATTTCTTCAGAAGATCTGGGCTGCAATTCAATTCACTTATGGACAAGTAAATTCCAACAAATTTCTAAGATATTTCTAAGTAGACATTCATAGGATTGGAATCCCCTGGAAAGATTGCAAATGGGGAATCTTCCCCAATAATAAATAAAGCAATGAAAACTTTACCACAGATTCATATGTATATATTCAAATCCTTGTAAGAAAGCAAAATAATTAATATCTTGTCTTAGATTTTGCAGATGGAAATCTGAGGTAAGCCTTTTCTGATTGTTACAGGATACCAATTTTTTGAGAAAAAGGTCATTAAATTCATGCAATGCCTCCCATTTTCTGCTCCTAGCTCTACCATGGTAATAAAACAAAGCGTCGAGCTGTTTGGATTACTGACTTCCTGCTTCAGATAGCTGGGTACCCTCCTACCCAACAGGGACAATCAGTATTAATGTATACAGACAGGCTGCACATTTTCTGGGCTTTGCTTAGCTATACTAAAGTTTCTATCTGTACCATCCCCCACCACTACATCACGCGCACACACACTGCTGATATATTGCTTTGTATATCTTCAGTGGGCAATAGGGTCCTGAATAAAGAGAGGAAAATCCAGACTGAAATTATGGGTTGGAAGAAGATGACATTGGCATCAGACTTGGGAGTGTCTACATCTCAATGTCTACATCAGGCTTGAACCATGGGATAATCTAAGCTACTGCAGGCCAAATTTAGACAGCCTTGAAGCCTACATTTGCTGGTATTTGAAAGAAGATTGCTTCCCATTCTCTTCCAAGCCATGGTAATGCTTAGTTACTCTCACAGGAAAACAATGTGTCTTATTTCTTATGTACACCTGGGTAGTTTTCATTTCCAGCCTTTTGGCGTGTTATTATAGTTTCCCATCAATAGCTATTAGCACTTTTGCTTTGCTCACCATACCCAAGTTATTCCTTAGCTTTCTTTTTAGATGCTAAACAGGCTGAGCGCCTTAAATCTCTGGCTGCAAGCAGAGCAGCCTCTGTCCCTTTCGTGCGCACAGTTGCAGTTGAACCAGAACTGAGAAAAGTACTTGGCATGCTGTACAGGCAGTATCCCTGCTTTTGTGCTTGAGTGGGAAAAAGTGAGAGGAGAACAGCAGCAGAATAGGCCAAGGTAGATGTAGCAAGAAGAGAAGGCTGCTAGTGGAAATGAGCCAAATTTAATGCAAAGGGGTGCAGACATCCTGCAACTGAACCTGAAAAAATTGACAGCAGTTACAAAAGGAACCCTGTCTTCTCTTTCTTAGTAAGTGGACTATTGGGCACAAATTTGGAAGATTCAAATTACGGATAGAAAATGGCATCCTCCAATTTTTTGCAGGAAAACTGGAAGCAGGGATATTTGAGGTCCTAAGCTGTCTTACAAGGTCATAATACTACTGGTTCCTACAAGATGCTGCATTTTATTTTGCTTACTGGAATAATCCAGTATTCATTTTTAAAAAGTTTACCAGTTCTTCATACATTCCTGTATATTCAAATGCTGAGCAAGAAGCTCGCCAAGCATTATTTCTTCCAACACAGTGATAGAACAGAACAGCCAGATTATCCCTGGACATTACTAAGCACGGCTGTGGTGTCTACTCAAGTCTTACACTTCACACAACATAACACAACACAACAAGATGTGAGGCTCCAGCCCAAGTGAAGCTCAAGCCCAAGTGCTTATACTACTGTGAGCCCTTGGAAAAATTCTTCTTCTTCTTTTGCTTCTTGTGCTTCATTGTCAAGCATGCAGACGACCTTGAATGAGCATTTGGAAACTCTATGAGATGCATAGAATTCTAGAGCTGGGAAACCTAAAGAATGTAACCAAGTCAAATTTTTCTACCAGCAAAAGAGTAACTGAGACTTTATATTCTACTGAAAAAGAGACTGCATAGCCAAGCTCTTCTTTTAAATCTCATTATTATCTTGGTAATGATTTTTCCAATAAAAATCTCCATATAAATAGTAATTCTCCACATACCTCCCTTCAAATACAAAATATTTACCTCTAAGTACATGGAAAAAAATATTCCAAAACTTAGCCTCCAGAAAGAGTATCTGACCTGCTGCTCAGAGCAGAGGGCTGATAACACCAACTGCACTGCATGGACTCTAAAAACATTGGGGGGAAAACAATTCTGCAAGAAGCTTGTCAGGTGGAGTGTGGTTCTTCTCATTCATTCAGCAACTGAACTTTTCTAGGCCATTTTTTTTTAAAGGCCACAAAGCTGTAAGTAGAAAGGAAATTAATCATCTCACTTCATCAGTAAGCAAGATGAAGGTCTCTCCTTTAACATCCACAAATACTGCCCCAAGAGTTCTCATATTCTCACAGGAACAAAAGTTCAGCCCACCTGGGGCTGGCCAGCAGCTTATGAATGGGCTGAAGTCTGAGAAGAGCTGCAGAGGGGCTGGAGGCAAATCTCTGGCAGGCTAGTTTGCCAGGTCTGGAAAATCCTGAGCCTCAGACATGCTGGCAGGCAACACAAAGCACCTTCTGTTGGGCCTCCTAGCTCTTCTTTGCTGATAGCTGGGAAGT